TTCCATCTCATTGAAGGCCTTTCCCTTTTTCGCTGACCCTCCAGTACAGCTCTGTCTGACCCTTTTTTGCTGACCTTTCAATAAGGCTATGTCTTGTTGTAGTATAATTCATGGGCAAAATACATCAAAATATTTTTATCACTAAATGGCAGAACTAAGTTAAAAAAAAAAAAAAACTAACTTGTACAGGGGTTAACCATACTCTACTGACTGAAAAAAAAAAAAAAAAGCAAAACCTGAGTTTAATTTTGTCATTCCAACCCACTGCCATCAAGTCAATTTTGACTCATAGCGACCCTTTAGAACAGAGTAGAACTATACAGTAGGGTTTCCAAGGCTGTAAATCTTTACAGAAGCAGACTGTCTCATCTTTCTCCCATGTAGCAGCTGGTAGGTTCAAACCACTGACCTCTAGGTTAGCTTTAACCACTATACTACCATAGCTCCTTAATTGAATTATTAGGATATAATAATGAGCTTTGTGCAGCTCCTAAGTTTTAGTATCCTACCCCATGGTGTGCTAGAAGATTGGTCTCCACTTTATTCATACATATTGGTAAAGGGGCATCCACATGTATCAACAATCACATAAATACACAAACGCATAGCTTCATTTATTCATTTTCTCTCCCTATTTTCCTCTCAGCTGTCTTCAATATCCGTACATCTTTCAAGGAAAAGCTTTCCTTGTGTAACAGGATTTTTCTGTAGTTTATCAGTGACCACTATAGGACATTCTTCCCTCAATTTCTAGGAAGCAACAGAAGTGGTTCACATGAAAATAATAATGAAGGGCAGAAAGTGGCCAGACTGAGACACTAAACACAGGAGCCAAGAAAATAAAAATGTAGCTGACCATGTCTAGACAAGAAACCCGAGAAAAACACAAAGAAAATAATGTCTAAATAAATGCCTCACTATGTTCTGCAGATTTAGGTGCAAAATCTTCGAGCTTAATTTAAAAGCAATCTAGGTACGAGAATAAGAAATAGATATAGTGTGAACAGTTACAGAAAGGTGGCTGTGCATGTGTGTAGACACACACACAGACATACATACACACACAAACTAGAGCAGGCCACAATCTGCTGTAAATAAGGGATTTAACATTCATTCCACAAGCTAATAGTACTTCTCGCCATCCAAGATATATCCACTTAGATAATCGTGAAGGAGAGTGCCAGAGCGGCTGAAGGGAATGGGCTATTGTGCTTGACTAGTTTCCATGTATAAATTAGTGCAGAGAAGAAAAAGAAATTCAACAGAAAAACACATGTACTTTATTATAATTCCTAGTGTTACTCTTGCAGCTCCTACAATAGCAGGCAAAAGAGCTTAAAACCACTTAAAAGAAACAAAAAGCCAATGCAAATTTGATTGAATGTCTTTCTGACAAGAAATGACTTGACTTTAAGTTTGGGTGGACACATATGTCAATGGCCGGTCATGGTTTTTGCCACGTTTCTATTGAGCTAAACAACTGGGACAAAGGAGGGAGAATGAAGAAGGGGAGGAGGGTGGGAAGATTGGGAAAGTTGTGTTATGCAGCTTAATTTGAACTGCACATCAAGAAAAAATCTCTCAGTCAAGACTACTGTCCTATTGTGCCCAGAGTAAAACAGAAGCCTATAATGTATGCATTCTGCATGAAAACATGGGTGTTCACCTAAAACAGATACAAAAGACACAGGGACCTCATTCCCTTAGGAATCATATTCCAAGAGCCAAGAACTATAATAAAACTTCGGGTGAACCACATTTGATATCTGTACATACTCAAAAACCAAGTCCTGGTATTTATGATTCAGCTGTCAATGAAATGACTATTTTGAAGTAGAAATTGGGTTTTCCACGAAAAGAAGCACGTTTTTTTCCAATTAAGCTAAAGGAACATTTAGAAATTGCTGAAATTAATTCTAAAAGTAGACAGAATCTTGTAATGTGTAAAAAGAATTATAGGGAGAAAAGCCACTCAATTCAATTTTTCTATCAAAACTGAAGGTTGAGCTGACAATGCCACACTCCTCATCAACTACTGATCAGGCTACAGGCTACCCTCTCTTAAGCTAATAATTTAATTTTGGCTAAAAAGCTAACTCAACTAAAAAACTCACTGCCATTAAGTCAGATCTGACTCACAGCGACCTCTCCGTGGGTTTGTGAGGTGGTATCGCTACGGAAGTAGATTGCCCAACCTTCCTTCTGAGGAGTGGCTGGTGGGTTTGAACC